GTGGATGAGAGTAATGCCCAACGGAGGCGGTTAGTGTGGTTTCACTTGCGCGTTTCTTAGTATAACCCGAATGTCAGTTGTTTTTTGAAGGTTCCTTCATACTCCCAGACTTCTTTAGAGGATCTTATTTTCTTCAGAAGTGCTTGTTTATGTACAAGCTACCCTGATCTCTGTTTTGCTCCCTCTGTATTTTTGCCTGTTCTGTGAGAAAGTGATGGACTTTTTTTTTTTCTTTCTTACAAGTTCCTTTGCACAGAACAATGGATGATGAGGGGAAAAACTATGTTACTGCAGAAGTATCTGATACGTTGGAATCAGTTTCTTTTCTGAACATAGCGGGTAAACCTTCACCTTTGGAGTCAACAGTACTGCCTAATACAGAGGAACGGGAGGTGTGGACTGTTTTTGTAATAGGTCTTCTGATTATTTAAAATAAAACTTTTTAAAGTTTTAATTCTGGCAAATACTTCTTTGGTAAGACCTGCTGTATTCCTCTGCCCGCAAGATGCGTTTGATTCTTCTTACTTCTCGGTGTTCACAAATAGATCATAGCCAGTAGCAAATGCAGATGGTCAACGCTACGTGATGTGTTGTGCTAAGCTTTTGAGAAGGAAGTAAAGGAGTTCAGTAATTGCACTTTGAATGTAATGCGACTGTACCATTCTTTTTAGTAAGCTAAAAAAAGGATATAGATGCTTGTTGAAAGCTTGTGAGGTGCTTGGAAATAAAAAATGATAATGCTGTGCTGCAGTACACTTTTGAAGATAGTATAGCCATCTCTCCTTTTTTAGAATGGTAGGTTTCCTGATTCACTTCCCTCAGGTGACTTAAATATGTATGATTAATGGAGTGCTGGTCATGGGAGGGCTGTGGAGACCTCTGGTAAATCCATCTGCTGAATGAAGAAGTTGCCAAAGTAGGGGCTTTGAAGCTCCGTGAGAAAGGAAGGAATGCTGGGATCCCTCTAAAAATCTCCCTGCTATTATTGCTTCACCTGGATGGGGAGACCTTTGTATAATGGTACGGGATGGAAAAGCCCACCTGAGCAACTGAGAACTGTTTCATGGCGGTTACTGTGAGGAAGATGAGGGGCTAGTGCCTGGATGGTGGTAATGAAGTGATCTCTTGAGGCTAAGAATGTGTCAATCTATTAACTGAACATGCTCCGTACAAAATGGAAGTGCAGTACTGTAGAGCAGCTGTTAGAAAATACAGCTTGAATTCAATACAGAGGGAGACCAGAAGGTGGAAGCAGTGCAGTTTATGCCTCCAATAGTGTGCTCTTTTAAAATCAAAATCTTGGCTTTGTCATAAAAGAACACTAAGGGGGGGGACAGACAAAAAAGTTTTTACTTAAGGACTTTAGAAGGTAAAGAAGCAAATGAAAGCTTAAGGTCTGAACTTCACAAGGAAGGAGAAAGTGAGGCAGTAAGATAAAATAGGAAATACTGCATCAGAGATGTATGCTGATATGATTTGGGGGTGTTCTGTTTAAAAAGTGGCCGTTATAACTGTGGGTTTTTTTTTTTTTGATGAATAGGCGTATCACCTTTGAAAGTCTTCTTGAGAGTGAAGCCCTTTTCTATAGCAGAGCTTGAAAGCCATGAATCTCAGGTTAGTTGGAGAATTAAGAAACAAGTTTTTCTTCTCCCCCAAAGAACACCTAGTGTTGTAAGCCGGGACTTTCTTTTATAAAAGCCATGTACTGCTTCCAGATAGAATTAGTGGACACCTGGATAAATGTGATTTTCTTTTTTCTCACAATTTTTACTAATTTGCATGGTACAGACATGCACACCTGTAGCTCTGCAAAATTCCACTGGGTACCGTTGTTTAGAAGTTGGTGTCACTCCTGACTCTATACAGTGCTCAAGAAATGAAGGAGTTTCATGGAAGAGATTATGCAATTCTAGGAGTAATTCAGGTATCTGACCCTCGAGTTTCTTTGGACTGCCTGAATAGTCTGCTACCTCGTCCTGGTGACTTGCTGCTCATCCTGTCAAATTTTTCTATAATCTCTACAGTTTATACTGTCAGATTCAGATGCTTCAGTGTTTTACACACACGTACATGTGCATATGCAAACACACAGAAATACTCCCCCCCCATCCATTGTGAATACTGATGCAAAGAATTCATTTAGCTGTCCTTGGAGGACAAAGTCTCTGCAGCGTATCTGTCAGCCCTCATGTTTGCAGGGTCTTACAGGCTCTCTGATGGACCTCTTGTTCCTGACCTGTTTGGAGAAGGATTTAATATTAGTTCTGATTTGCTTCTTGTGATTTGCTTTTTAAAAATGTATTCTTGCATTTAATCTGCCAGAGTTGGAACCCTTGCATTTTTTTCACTTGGATTTCCCCACCGCCCCCCGCCAAAATTCCATTCACCTTTCCTTAGGCAGTTCTTGTTGACTAGTATGCACTGCCACAGTGCTTCCAGTTTGGTATTCAGCTATCTGAGCTGGCTGTAAGGGTAAATTAATTTACAAAATCAAATTGTTTTACAAGTTGTTTATCTCATTCCTCTTTGACCATTAGTGAAACTACTTGTTCCTAAAAGCAGGGAGGGAGGGGAAAAAAGTAAGTGTTGAAGTTTGTACTAGATTTTTTTAAAGCTCTTTGCGTAGTTCGTGATGAAATTGGTGATCTTCCACCATATTAGCTGTATAACCTGTTTTGCATGGTATGAAGGCTTTTTCCTCAGCCTCCAAAAGCTATGAATGCTTGAAAGATCTTCAACATCTTCAATGTTTTCTACTCTCTTAACTATCACCTGAATCTGTGAGGAAGATGCTTGGTAACAAAAAAAACAAACAAAAAATCCAAACCAAAACAAAACCCCCTTCCTGTCTCTATAATCAATGAGAGATTAACTTAATTTTTAGGTCCTTTTTTCTTCCCTGCTATGCATAAGTTTCAGGAAATCATCTTTGTTCCAAATATGTAACACGAAAAAAGTAGAACCCAAGCCCTACTTCTTATAGCTGTAGACTGATGCTTTAAACGGAGACAGTCAACAGGTTAACTGATCCGTTGTTGCTTATAGAGATAATGATTTATGCAAGTAAAGCTTAAGAGCTCTAGATGAAATTCTGTACTCTTGATACAACTGCCAGTGATTCTCTGGAGTCACCCAGGGGAGAGCAGGAAGTTGTTTTCTTTGGAGATAAATGATGTGTATAGTGCCGGAAACGGTCCAACTCCTGCCAACTTACCTGTGGGGTTAGCTGGGGGAGACAACGAGAGTGGCGTGTTACCAGCTGGATTCCAGCTCTGCAGATCTGACTACTTCAAGGCCTCTACTCGGGAACGTCTATGAGGCCGGTGGCAGCTGATGCCACATGCTTCAGATGTTGAGATTCTTCTGTAGCTCTCTAGGATTCAGTACATCTGACCTGCATTCCGGTTCCTGGCAATGTGGGAGGAACGTTAAAGAGTATATGGGTTTAGAGCCTGGCACAGTGAGCAAGCCATTGGTCTAAATTCAGTATCCAGCTTCTTAGAGCTTCTATACCAGTTGATAAACAGACTTGTTAATTGAGAGTCCTAGGAAGAGCGCTACTTCCTATGTACATGCTACACATGGATTATTAGTCTTACCAGCTCTGGGCAGCCTCTGAACATAAAGTCAGATTTAGTTACAATCAATCCCTGCGGCTGATGCTTCAAGACACTGTTAAGCTATACTGGTAGTTGTATTTTGGTAGTCTGTCTGGTGTAAAAGAATTTTTCCTGGGATACTGCATTCTACATTTCCCAAGTTAGTGAACACTAGGTAATTGCATCTCACCTTTACTTAATTGAGAAATAGCAATCAAGTTACTTGAAACTAATTCAGTTTTCTTCATTACTGATAACACCATCTATCAGTCGAAGGATAATGCTTCAAAATTATTTTACTTTATTTATGCTGGTCATATCTTGTTTCACACTGAAAGTGACTGAAGTGCAGAACCAGTAGATTTCTATATAGCTTTGTTTTCATAGCTAGGATCGTGCAAGCCACGATCATAAAATACCAGGGTTTAGAAAGTGTTTCCAAAAAAGACTTGCTGGAAGGAATCCTAGAAAAATTGTATACCTCTTAGAAAACTCAAGGCAATTGTCTGAACTTTGTCTACACTCTGGCTTTCATGTGAAGTGGATATCCCTGTGGTTGTTACAGGCCTCAACAGAGATTATATATGAATTTTGCAACTCTTTGTAGCTCTGGTAAATAGATGAAAACACTAGGGTTTCTGTTGGGTTTTTTTGGGTTTGTGGGTTTTTTTCAGATAGCTTTCTTCCTAACTAATTTTCTGTGCTGTTTTGGTTTACCTTGTCTTATTTTTTTAAGGGTTGTGTAACTATTGAAGATCCCCAGACAGTAATTCTTAATGCACCCAAAGAGTCTTCTGCCATGAAAAACAGTGAAAGAGGGATTGGTCATTCTGTGCACAGGTTCACCTTTTCTCAGGTAGGCAAATTTTTTTCTAATTTTTAGTTACAGTTTGTTTTTTCCCACTGTAATGATAAAAATTGAATTTTCTACTATATCATGCAATGTGATTTTTCTTCTTTGAATTACATGTGGTGGTACTTGCCTTAAAAAAAAAAAAAGACTGCTTATTATTTACTGTTAGGCTGTCAAGAAAGCTGTATTACAATGGAGGTGCCTATTAGATGAGACAAGGAAGCTTCTTTGGTAGCTCTGTTGTTTTCTTTGATTAGATGCCACAGAAGCTTCTTGTAGGCACAAGCTTACAATGGCTCTGCTGTTCCTGCAGATGCCCTCATCTGGGAAGTGTTACAGGAAATCATCTGTTTAAAGGGACTTACTTTTGAAAGAATAGCAGCCTAACTGCTTAAACCTTCTATACTGGAAGTCAGTTTCTTAACTGTTACCTTCTGCAAGAACTTCTGTTCTTACAGTGTCAAAACATAAACAGCTCCAGGCATTGAGTCATTTAGACCATTGTAATGCTGATCTTCTCATCAATTGTGGGTGACTGGTACAGAGTGAGGAGCAAGTTGTGTATCACTACCAGAGCTCTTGAAAATATCCACTAGATGGTATGTGCTTAGTAGTATTCTGAGTAGTTTATTTTAGGAGTAGGAAATAACCAAAAATAAGCGCAAGCCTGAGTGCCTTTCAGAATTAAGCAGGCATCCTATGAGAACCCAACAGAAAATGTTGAATCGGAAGGGGTTCAGGCAAGACAGAAAACTAAGCGGGTATCTCCTACTTGGCTTGTTCTGAAAAACTAGTCACTATTAATCAATGCTTAATATTTTGATATATTAAACTTCTTTGTGCCATTTATCACTCCCCTTTTTTTCCTTTCTCTTCCCCCCATCTCCTTCTCCAAGGTCTTTGGACCAGAAACTACTCAGAGCGAATTTTTTGAAGGCTCAATGAAAGAGGTCGTAAGAGCATATGTTAATGGAGTGAATGGACTGGTGTTTACTTATGGGGTTACAAATGCAGGCAAGACATTCACTATCCAAGGTATAAAATGTTCGCCAAAACGCATATATAACAACCAAGTCAAAATCCAATGAGAAGTTTGTATGAATGTCTACATTTAATCTTTTGTTATTTTTAAGGGACTTCAAAAGATTTTGGTATTTTACCTCGCTCACTCGATGTGATTTTTCACCACATAAGGGGAAGACATTACCTGAAGATGAACTTCAAACCATATTTGAGCAACGATGTTAAGAAACTAGAAGATGCACAAGTTAAGCAAGAAGAAGCCATAAAAACTGCTATTCTTGCATCACTGAAAGAGGTCAGTGACCAAATACTTTATTGTTACTGAATGAAGCTTCTTAAAAACTTCCTGTCTAACAGACTATCTTTAAAATCTCTGTTTCACTGTTGATTCTTTAGATTTATCTAAATCTACAGTATGGACACTTGGTGAACCTTGGAATAAGGCAACTGGCTGTTTTTGGAGCTCAGGGTAAACTGGAAGAACTTTCTGCAGCAGGCAGCACACAGTTCAAACCAAAAATCATTGCAAAGCCTGGATTTCAGTAGAGGAGCAGTTCTGACACTGTGGTGACACTAGCCCTTGAAAAGTCTCTGAGAGCTGACCTATCTAAAACCTGCTTCTTAAGCGAATCTTCTCTTGGGTCAGGTTCCCAGGCTGGATCTCTGGGCAGTTGCTCAAATTCCAGCACTAGCTCAGGAGAGTTGATGGCAAGGGCAGCAAAGAATGCAGAATAGTCTCTTTTGGTGGAAGACAAGTCTTAAATCACGGGTTTACCAACTTTTTAATCTGCCTTATGTAACTTCATAAAGAAACTTTTCTGATACAGCGAGTGAAGTGAGATGCCACAAGATTAATTTCCTAAAAGGATTCCAGCCTGCTTTAGAGGATTGTATGTATCTTTTAACTCGGTCTCTGAAGATTGTAGGTAGAATAGAGGAGTCTTTACTGTGGCAGCCTCCTGTTCTCATTATCTAGTCATTTCTGTTTCCAGTGTAAGAAATGGGTCTCACCATAAAATGGGCACCCTTGTGTGTATGACTGTTCTGTAGTTCTAAGCCCAGCTGCAAATTGTCATAAGATGTCTGGCTTTTTTTCCCTCATGTTCAGAACATTTTTAACCTGAACTGTGAGCCTACTGCATTTTGGGATTATCATTCAAAGCAACTCTGAATGAATTCTGGGAAGTATAGAAGTAATGATTGACTGGGTTTTCTTTTTTCTGCGGTCTTTAATACCAATGTTGTTAAAGTACTCCAGTTAGCTCTGAAAGAATATCCTTCTATGATTCAAATTCATATGTGAAGTTCCACTCTAAATTCTATTGCTTAATTTAAGCTCTGCAAACTGAACTTTTAGTCTGAGTCTGGTTAACTTTTGAGGAAAGACCTCAGATGAAAAATCTAAAAGATGCTAAAGATTGCATATTTATTATGACAGTGTCTTAAAAGCTCACTCGCACTGTGTGTGTGTGCAGAGGGGGTGAGGGTCTTAAAGAAAAATTGAGATGGTCAGGAGGATAGTAGGTAAATACTTTTAAAAACTTTATGGAACCTGCAAGCTTGCAAGAAGGAGCACGCAGGAACTCAAGGTCTAGAACAGGAGGTAAAATATCTTATTTTGAAGATAACTCTATACTTTACAAATACTCCTTTCTGTTAAATCACAGGCTGACTTTATTATAGTTACTGAATGTTGCAGTAGGTGATCTAGATGCTGATGCACTACAGTGAAAAGCAAGCAAGACTCCACCATCAGGAAGGAAATGTAAAAACGCGTCTAGAAAATAATACTCGACAAGACCTTGCTTATGTGTTACAATGCTTCCATAGTGATAGCTCAGCTATCCCCAGTACCGAAGCTGTGCTTCTTGATAGCTTGTGAATAGCATCACTGTTCGGATGTTCACTCAGGCTTGTAATCTGAGAGCAGATACGGTTGGTGGGCTTGGTTTTGGTTTACATGGATTTCTGTAGGCCCTTTTCCCAGGCTCAGTTTACATATGCAGAAAGAGCCTGCTGTTCCTTTCATTCTCTCAGTTTAAACTGCTCTGAGTTACTGCAATACCCTTGTATTTCATGTTCTACTGTTTTATGTTCTCTATACAGTACTGCTGCAGAAACTGTTGCTTGGCATGGTTCTCACCCTCTCTTTCCTTCCCATTACTTGTTCTATTCACTGGATTAAATACTGGTTTTTACTGGATTAAAAGCTGCTTTACTTGCATTCCTATTTTCACCTGTCCTCATATTTGCTATTAAATGTCAGCTTCTGTCGCTGGCAAACAATGTCAGTTCCTGTTCCCACTTGTTTTCAGGCAGTCGTCTTCATGGTCTTTTCTGTATTTGGCCTTATGATTTGAAGAACAGTATAGCAACGTAGCTAATTCATTTCAACAAAACTGAGTACCTTTACAAAAACTTACCATGTGCACAAGTAGTGTGGCACTGGGTTTTTTACATTCCGTTACATTTTTGACATGCGTAGATGTGCCATGCGTGTCAGTCCCTTACCCTGCTTTGGAATTCTGCTTTGTACTTCACAAACGGAATTAATAGAATCCATGCTTGTAGTTATACTTGTAACTACTCAAGCAACATAAACATATAGACAGTGCAGTCTTTGCAAAATGGTCATTTATAAAATAAATGACAACAAAATCATATGCTATTTATCTTTAAAATGGAAGATCTGAAAGTATGGTATCATACTTCCCTGTTTGTAAAAATTCCATTTTGGATATACCAAGTGAGTAACAGGCATCAGTAGACAATCCATAACGAACTTAGCACTGCATTCTAATAGCTAGAACATTAAGGTTTACTTCTTTGAAAGAAGGTTCAAGAGGTTCCCCTCTTCTACTGTAGGCTGACCCTCTATCAGGATTGGGTTTTGGGAAATCAGGGTGAATGTCCTAATGAAAATTTATATCAGTGTATAAAATATGGGGAGGAAGGTAGTATGTGGAGATGTTGAATCTCTAAATAGCAGGAGCTGCTACCTCATTACACTAGTTTTCCTAGCAGTAATTTGAAGCCTATGCTTTGACAAGTCTTGGCAGGTTTTTAAATAATTTTGTTGATGTAAAGAAATTCAGCAAATATGTGTACTTAAAGAAACTGTGCTGTTATCTATACAGGATTTTGAGTGGCCTTTTAATTCAGTCTGAATTAAACCAATGTAGACTGTTGGTTTATCAGATCTTTAAGTCCTTCATGAAGCTATCATTTCACTCTGTCTGAGGGCTTAAAGTAAGTTTGACTCAAACTCTCACAGATGTGGCAGAAGCCTGTGATTTGCAAAAGTGATTGGCAACAAGCAAGCAAACTAGGGATCCCTGCTGCTTTAGTCTCTCTGTTGCCCACCACCTTGCCACCTGCCCCTGAAAGAAACTTCCTTCTCCGGTTCTTTTGGGTGACTGAAACACTGTTCAGATTTGTCCAGTACTTCATAAAGGCATTCTGGGCTGTTGCAGTCTGACAGAGGATCTTGGTTCTCCCAGAACTGTAAAGTAAGTCTACTATGTTAGCAGCAGTTGGCCTCCAAAACAAGTTGCTGGGAGTAGCAGAGAGCAATAATTCTTGTGAGGGAAAGA